ATGAGTCGGTTCTGGAGGATGTGGAGGACCCTGGACAGGATTCCGACTCTGAGCAGGGCGCAGAGAGGCTGGTTGGCCACCAGGAGGCGCCTGAAGGCGCCTGAGCCTTGGACCAGTGGGGAGGAGACAAGGGAGTGTGATCCTGACTTTGGAATTAAGTTGTTGTTCCTGGATGCCCGGCACCGGAGAGCTAATAGGCGTAAGGAACAGTTGCGCAGTTACAGGAGGTAATTGCACTCAGCTGGTGGTAATTAGGCTCCTCTGCAGACTATAAAAGGAATGCTTGTGCACATGCCCCTTTTTGCGGAAGTCAACGCATGAACTAATGTTGGAGAACAGTACTGTGAGCCTGGAAGGCTGGATTGCTGCCGAGGCTTATCTGTGTTGGATTGCTGCCAAGGACCTGTCTGTCTGTTAATAAATTCCGTAAAGTATCTTTGGCTTGGAGTGTGTTGGTGTGGGACGATGGGGATCAGAACAGAAATCCATAAACAGTGCTAAATTTCTGAGGATTATGAAGAAGAAACTTCAAACGCATTAGCATTAATTTACAGGTAGTGTCATTTAATAAGCAGTATTTGAGTAAAGACATTGTGTGACAGGATTCAGAGATCAAAAGAGTAGTTTAAACTAACAAAATATACATAGCCATTAAAAAAAAAAAAGCTTAGGATAGCAGCATTCCACAGATACTTTCTTCAAAAGTCATATCTAACTGTGAATATTATGTCACAACTAAAGTAAGATATATGGATTACATTCTAAAATACTTTTCATAAGGTTATGTGCAAAATGCACATAAGGAACAGAAATAGTTTAAAGAAAAAGAAATTGGAAAATAGAAAAAAATCCAAAAGAGAAACCCAAAGAATAAGAAATCAGCTTATCAAACAAAGCATTTGCACTGAATTAAAGTAACTCCGTAGTTACGTGAAGTATGACAAAACTCTGAGAAAGCATCAATGTAATCAAAGACAAAAAGGATCAAGAAAATCTCCAGAAATAAAGATAAATGAGGCAGAGGCAGAACTGAAGAAAAACAAGAAAGAAAAATCAGAAACAGAAAAAGACATGAACGCAAAACTCATTATTTTATGTATATCCCTTATTTTGAAATAAAACACAGACACATACCTACCACCCCACTAATACACAACACTTGCTTCTTTGAAGGCACAATTTCTATTCTATTTTAATATATCTAAACAATTTTCGTATCTTCTATTATATGTAAATTTTCCTGCAGAATATTCTATATAAAAACATTTTAACACTCTGATATATCGTTGCATTCACATTTTGCTCATAAAAAATGGTCTACCATGAATTTTAATTTGATTTTTCTGAAATGCCTTATATCTTTTAAAAGATTACTCTGAGAGAACATACTGAAAGGCAAATCTTTTAGTACACAGGTCCATCCCTATAAACTGTAAATGGGAAGCATCAAACCAGTGGTAAAATTTGATTTTTTTTTACTACCGGTTCTGTAGTCATGGCTTGGTGGGCATGGCAGGGGAAGGATACTGAAAAATCCCCATTCCCTCTTCACTCCTGGAGGAAGGATATTGCAAAATGCCCATTCCCTCTCCACTCCAGGGGAAGGATACTGCAAAATCCCCATTCCCTCCCTACTCCAGGGGAAGGATACTGCAAAATCCCCATTCTCTCGCCACTCCAGTGGAAGGATACTGCAAAATCCCCATTCCTTCCCCACTCCGGTGGAAGGATACTGCAAAATCCCCATTCCTTCCCCACTCCAGGGGAAGAATACTGCAAAATCCCCATTCCTTCCCCACTTCAGGGGAAGGATACTGCAAAATCCCCATTCCCTCCCCACCTCAGGAGAAGGATACTACAAAATCCCCATTCTCACCCCACTCTGAGGCCAGTCAGTGGTGGTATTTGGCAGTTCTCCAAATTATTCAAAATTTCTATTACTGGTTCTCCGGAACCTGTCAGAACCTGCTGGATTTCACCCCTCATCAAATATATATTTAAAACTTTTTTTCATTGTTCAAACTTCCAGAATGTCAGCCTCTGAATTATTACTCAGTCATTCAACTTGTTTGGGCTAACCTAGCTTCAGTGGATAGGGGATACAACCTTTAGAAATCCGCAGTTAGGGACAAAGACTTGATTATAAAATTGAAAAGAAGAAGAGGATAATGACAATATCCATCAGCATATTTCTACCAGCAAAACTACAAAGAAATTCCACAAAAAATGTCACCAAATGCAGGACTTAAGTAGAAGGAGATATCAGAATATCCTCGGCTACTGTCAATGTTTTCATAATGATGGGTGTGATTTGATGAGCAATTTTGCATATACTGCATGCAAGTAAAAACAATCATCCCATTTTGCCCACATTTCAAAGCCAAGATTGCTGTTGAAGATATTCTTAGGATATATGAATTTACTTTGATATAAACCAGTTAATCAAATATGTGAGAGGCCATATTTACTAGTAGCAATTTTTTTCAGTAGCATATACATTAGCTATTTTGTCATTTACAAAATAAATAACTGTTGGCTTGATCATTAGAATAACACACATTGAAAAATTCAACATAGCTCCAATTCTTAGCAATTTGAATTTACAATTTGCTTTGTGTTTATAAATATATGCTATGAAAATATATTATTTAAAGTTGATAGCAATGCATTGGTCACAACCAGCTTTCTGGAACTCCAAAACCTCTGAAGACACAACTGTCAGAGGAAATATTCTTCTTACTAGGAAAGTGAAATAATTTGTCTAGATAACAAATTGATAGCTGGAATCTAATCTAGGAGTTATATGTTTTAATGAAGGTTTCAGATGTATCATATAGGTTTCTCCACAAAATAAGCATAAGGTTAAAGAACATATATAGGCTTTTTAACTGTGATGTGGTTCAATACAATACATATAAAAGAAAAAAACCCTGCTACTTACCAAATTCTTTAGGAACTGCAATTGAGTAAATGCAGTTATGTCCTATGCTATAGTTTTTAGGGTAGTTTGGCGATAAAACCGTTCCTTCAGAACCCGTGGAACGTATTCCACAAGGTGCTACAAAGCAAAAGACAATTTATTTCACAATATGGTAGGAAAAAGTAGAATCAACAAATAAGCAAAATAAATAAACTTTACCTTCAAAAATAAATAAACTTTACCTTCAAAAATAAATCAATGGATTAAATCAATGGATTAAATATTTCATGATATCATCAAACTATCAGAAGCTGCTGCTCAAAGGGTTAAGATGTCTCACAGCTTTAGTGTGGGCTGTGCTGTATTTATTTTATGAAATGCTTCTGTGAAAAATATGTCATTCAAAGGAATAGGACAGGCAGTAGAGGCAAACGACAAAACCCGAGGCACATATATTTGTATATCACATGACAAGTAGTTAAAAAACCTGATTGTTTCAACTTCCTCTTGAGATATGTATTTATATTCTGTATATAAAATATTTTCTCCTAATGTTTAAGGTCGTATTAAAAAAAAAAGTGGGTTCCTTGAATTTCATCTCACTGTTTTAATCATATTTGTTTCATATTAAAAAAAATTGGGTATAAAATAACATACCAATAATAATATACCAAATATTGTATTGTATTATATTGCACTTCATAAAGTTCTCTAATGCTTTATGTATTTTCAATAATTCCTGAACAAACTCACAACTTATATAGTAACTACCTGTTCTTTTGATAACAACAAAGAGTAAAATCATGTTGCTGTCACTGGAAGAAGTTTCAGCTACCAGAATGAGAGGACAATTACTTTATCTTTTCAACTCAATAGCCAGAAGGAATGGGAATTCTAGAGATTCTGGAAGTTGAAGTCCACAAGTCGTAAAATTGCCAAGCTTGGAGACCCCTGCTCTGGGGGATTGTCTATCTGTCTAGAGCAAATTCTGGGGGTCTATGGAGAGACAGGGTAGAAAGGTGAAGAGGCAGGATAAAGACCAGGAAGTTGCATTACATAATCTAAGGCCTACTTGAGTGCAAATGAATTCCATCCCATGAATTTGAATGAACACATATGGAGTACTTATCAGCAGTGTTTATTCATTCAAATTGTTCCAATAGAATTTATTTCTATCAAATCTTATAAAGAGTGTATATCTAATATATAACACACTGCAGTTCTTTGTTCTTTAAAAGTTATAGTGCTATAACACTAGAAATCAGTGGATTTGAAATTCAGATTGTGGAACGCACAAGACTAAATATTGATTTATTTTCTTCTAATATCCATTACTAAATACCTATTAAATAAAATGTTCAGAATTTAGATACATACAAGGTCATTTATATAAAGTGTAAAATGAGGAAGAAAACTAAGAAAGCATTTTCATAAGCACACATTTTAAAATAAAGTAAATTTGATATGCAAATTATATTATATTTTTCAACACAGCGTCAAAGCAGTTATTTGTGTCAAATTACATATGGAATTTGCAATAAAATTGAACAATAATAAAGCTTTAATTACATTATCTAGCAGCTCAGTCTTTTGTGAAAGTATCAATTTCAAATAAAGTTGAGCTCAGGAATATTTTAGCATAGTATTTATTTTATTTCTAACTGCAGCAGAGAGGTTTTGCCAGCATAGATGGTACAATATTTCATTATGACCCCAAAGTACAGATCTATGCAAATTGTCACCCAGTAACATTATTCTTTAAAACATCTTGAAATAAATAGCCTTTTAGTTTTTAAATGTATTAAATAAATATATTTGCACATTTGTTAATTCAGTGTTCTATATTTCATTATGTTACATACAGATTATCTTTTATCCCACATTAAAAGATTATTTGCTTTCTGTAAATCTGGGAAAAGGTGATTTTGTAGTAGTTGTTGTTCCTCTTGTGAGCAGAGGAGTGAACTAAATAAATATTTTACTCTATACTAGGGCTCTCCAAATTGGTAACTTTAAGCCAGTCATGAGAAATTCTGGGAGTTGAAGTCCACAAGTCATAAAGTTATCAAGTTTGGAAACCCCTGCTCTACATTATTGTAGTGCCACAAGCAAACATTTATTCACCCCATCACTTAACTTAAACTCTAAAGGAAGTGGGACAAAACAATGAGATGGAATGCACCTACATATCCAGGTAGATGCATCAGTTATGCACTTTTTACACTTTTGATAATTTTGTATACCAAAAGTTTGCATTTTTGTGCAAATGCTGCAACACAAATGCTTTGGTTCAGACAAACTGAACAAGGGAGAATGAAAGGAGTCTATAGAAACCATTTTCATAAGCATATTTCTCTCATTCTTATCTTAATATATACAGTTGGCGGTTACTGTTGCAGTTATTATTTGGGAAAAGATAAGCTATGATGGTAAATTAATATGATCTGTTTTGCAAATTAACTGTACTCAAAAGAAGTCAGCAAATTTAGTATTTCTAAAAAAAGCTGGGTTATTTCTTGATGTGGAAAAAAAATCAAGACTACCCTGTTTCCCTGAAAATAAGACCTCCGCAGATAATAAGCCCAATCGGACTTTTGAGTGCATGCACTAAAATAAACCCTCCCTCAAAAATAAGCCCTCCTTCAAAAATAAACCCTCCCTGAAAATATTTTAACACAATAGCAGTTATGTGGTGACCACACTAGTCATCTCCTGCACCGCAAAAATAATAAGACCTCCCTGAAAATAAGGCCAAATGCTTATTTTGGGGGTCAAAAGAAAATAAGACACTGTCTTATTTTTGGGAAAACACAGTATATCAAATAACTTTGATCTGACTTGGATTGGCAATAATTGTAACTTCATATAAAACATATTCTTTACAATGACAATATATAATTGTCTCTTGGATGAAGAGTTGTTCTTCATATTTATAATATTTTCTGCCTAAGAATGCAGGCTATAAACATATTACTAGCAACTGCAAATACTCTGCAGCTTACAGTTATATATTTTTATGTCTAATGAGGAATACTTTGTGTTTTGTACATATTTGCAAGAATAAATACTTGTCAGCCACTTGTGAGTGGTAGTCTCTCAGAGATAATTCTTCTTCTTTCCCAAAAATAAATAACAAATGGTAGACTTAATATTAAAAAAAGGAAGAAAAATGTATAGGCTTTTTGCCTTTGGACTCGGCAAGAATTGCAAAATGATGTAAATTCTTCTTAGCATGAAATGGGTTTTCCACCACACTGAGCAATAAAGTACTAACTTATAAACAATAAATAAAAGTTCCATGAAAAGTAAAACTTATATAGTGTGATTGAAAGTAAGTACACTTGATGATACTGACAAAGAAATTACATGTTATCTTTTGTCCTATGTGAAAAATATAATATGCAAACCTTAATTATTTTGTTTTTAACAGCTATCATGACATGCCAAATAATTCAGTGTATTTATTTGGTTAATATTTGCATTCATTCATGATAGAATGAGACTATGGACTTCCTTTGCGTTACTTTCTTATGAAAAAGTCTTCAAGGACATATAAAATAAGGACATTAGCTACAGGCAAAGTGGAGAAAGGTTTAAAGTGCATGTTTCATTTCCCCTCCCCCCTAGTTTAATTTAGAAGGAAATACATTTTTTCAAAACTTTATGGTAGGATATTGAATTGATGAAGTCAATCAGTATTTGGTTTACTGTACAATTTATGGGTCATGAGGATTCAAAGTAAGTATCTATCATCTATCTATCTATCTATCTATCTATCTATCTATCTATCTATCTATCTATCTATCTATCTATCTATCTATCTATCTATCTATCT